GTCTGGGAGTGGTCAGTCTGGGCGTGGTCAGTCTGTGGTGTGGGTCTGGGAGTGGTCAGTCTGGGAGTGGTCAGTCTGGGAGTGGCCAGTCTGGGAGTGGTCAGTCTGCAGTGAGGGTCTGGGAGTGGTCAGTCTGGGCATGGTCAGTCTGTGGTGTGGGTCTGGGAGTGGTCAGTCTGCAGTGAGGGTCTGGGAGTGGTCAGTCCGGGCGTGGTCAGTCTGTGGTGTGGGTCTGGGAGTGGTCAGTCTGGAAGTGGCCAGTCTGTGGTGTGGGCCTGAGGGTGTGGGTCCGGGAGTGGACAACAGTGTGAGTGTGGGTCTGCTGTCTCTCCCTGGTTTATGGAGCGAGCTCGCTGTGGGCTGGCTGTGTGCGGAGAGAGAGCTCAACGCCTTTCCTGGCGGCCTGGAGCTGACTCACCTCTCTCTCCCTCTCTGTGTCAGTATGTCCACACCGGGACTGACAGCTGCCCGCTCCCGGATCGCTCTGTGTCCCTGCCCCCGGCACACCAGCTAAAAGTGCACCGGTTCTCCGGCCAGACAGGAACATCCAGGGGCTATTTCCAGCCATAGCAGGGGATGTCTGCAGAGGATGATACTCTGAAAAGACAAGGTAAGGCAGACGAGACTGTACTTGCAGGCATCATTCTCAGCGGGGCGATCGGGAAATCCAGGCAGGGTCAGAATCTGGTGTTGTAGCGACTGAGATTGTTTAAAAGATCTTTCCAAGCTCCAGAAAGTGACAGATAATCTCGGAATGCTAACGGATGCAACTGAGCTGGGTCTGTATCATGTCACATCTCTTGCCTCTGAGTAATCCGTTCCTGTTAGAGGTATGTTGTGGTTCACTCTGCCTTTTAGATGTGAAATTCTCGATTATCTTTTTTGTTATTTAAAATACTTTACAGGCTACTTGTAGCGGCTTCTCCTCATCCTTTCCCTCTGTTGTGTCCTGCTTTCTGTCTGCTCTGTAGTTTGACTGGGATAGACGGCAGTGCTGCAGGGAGAGTGGGGGCTGCTGCTGGGTATTAGGAACAGAGTTAATATCTTTCTCTCTCTGCCTGATTTCTCCTGCTTCCCACTGTTGTGCAGTGAACAGAGTTATCTGGAAAGGTTTGGAAAGCCTTCACAAGTTGTTCTGCAATGTCGGTTTTCTTTTTGACGCTAGAGGCAGCTGAATGAAGGGATTGTCATTTTAGAGGGAGCGCTGTTGATTTCAAACGTTGAGTGGGATTTTGTAGCATCTTCCCGATCGAGACGCATCGATCTCATTTCGCAGCCGATGCCCGGCGCTCGGGGCACTCTGTCCGGGAATGAGCTCAAATTCCTGCCGATGCCCTGCACCAGGTAATTCTCATTGTGCCCAACCGTAAATCTCACAGTGCCCACGCCTCCCCAGGGTAAATCTCATAGTGCCCACCCCTCCCCAGGGTAAATCTCACAGTGCCCGCCCCAGGGTAAATCTCAATGGTCAGCTCTCACTTTCACTCACCCCCTTCCTTACGTCTGCTCAACTTCTGCCTTTTCTGTGACAGATAGGTTCTGAGTCTGCAGGTTTAATTTTGCTGCGATTTCCATTCAGCGTGTATTCCTCTCATCCAGTCAAAGATCAGCCCCCACCCTGGATCACAGTTCCTCCCTGGTGCCCGTGGCCCCAGAGTTTTGCCCCAGTTCACCCTCGCCTGAGGACGGTTCTGGGAATGAGCCGCTCCTATTAGTAAATTACTATTTACTTACTAAAGATAAACAGGAATCTGGGCACAGTTGTCTGCATTCTTTCAAAAAAGAACAGGCTTCCCTGAAAAATCAAATGGCTGGATTTAGACTCGTTCCCTTTCGGGGTTTCTGTCAGTATCTCTCAAGGAATGTCATAACGAACCATTAGTTCATAACAGATTGCCAACTCATTGTTAAATGAAATGTAAAACCTAAGCAGTTTACAATCAATAAAGCATGAGAAAAGCCCCAGAGGGCAGAAATATGCATTTATATTTACTCTTTCATTCGAAAACAGAACCTCAATTGAGCAGCCAGCTTGACAGCATTTACTGACTGAAAACTCCCAATCTATTGTTGGGGAATTTCAATGTAAAAGTGCTGAATATATGGTAACTTTTGTCACAGAATCCAACCTGTTGTAATCTTTGTGAATTGAAGCACATCAATTCTTCATCTAGAGTATCCAGATCCATTGTATGTACTCAATGTGTATTTAAACAGACAGTAATTTACTAAAGGAGTTTGCCAGCCTACAGTGCATACAGTTGGCAGTCTCAACCAGTTGCCCAGTTATAGGAAGGATATTATCAAGCTGGAGAGGGCTCGGAAGAGATTCACCAGGATGTTGCCAGGTATGGAAGGTTTAAGTTATGAAGAAAGGTTGGACAGACTGGGACTTTTCTCACTGGGAGCATAGGGCATTGAGAGGTGACCTTACAGAAGTTTATAAAATTATGAGGGGTATAGATAAGTGACTTTTCCCAAGGATGGGGGTTTCAAGACAAGGGGGCACATCTTTATGGTGAGTGGAGAGATTTAAAAAAGACATAAGTGGTAAATTTTTTACACAGAGGGTGGTTCACATGTGGAATGAACTGCAAGAGAAAGTGGTGGATAGGGGTACAGTTACAACGTTTAAAAGACGTTTGGATAAGTTCATGAATCAGAAAGGTTTGGATGGATATGGGTCAGGAGCGTGGGACTTGTTTAGTTTGAGATTATGTTCGGCATAGAATGGTTGGACGGAAAGGTCTTTTCCGTGTTGTATGACTGTATGATTCTATCTGCTAATGCCCTGCTTTGTTGTGCGCTCCTTATTGTTAGAGGAACCAACATATTAGCCCCTATCAATAACAAATGCTAATATTTAAGCAGTGCCCAATTCTTTAAACTGACTACTGGAGAAACTAGTCAAGCATTACAGCGAGCCATTCCTCATGGAGTATCTGAATCAATGTCATCTGAGGAAAGCGATGGAAAATAAAGTCAAGTTTGCAAGTGACACAAAAACAGCTGGGAAGGCAAGTGGTGAGGACGACACAAAAAGTTTGCAGCGCGATATAGACAGGGTTCAGTAAATGGACAAAATTGGCAGATGTAATATAATGTGGGAAAATATGAAGTTGTGCACTTTGGCAGGAAGAGTATTCTTAGTTATATTATTATTTGACTATTATATAAATGGAGAGACAGTGTAGAAAGCTACAGCACAAAGCAATTTGGGAGACCCCATGTGTAAATCGCAAAAAGCTAGCATTCACGTTCAGTGGATAATAGGGAAGGCAAATGGAATATTAGCCTTCATTTCAAAGGGAATGGAGGATTAAGTGGGGGTTGGGGGGTCGTGCTAAAACAATGCAAGGTACTAGCAAGACCACAATTGGAATACTGTGAACAGTTTTGGTCCCCGTATCTAAGAAAAGATATACTGGCTTTGGAGGCAGGCCAGAGAAGGTTCATTAAGTTGAACTTGGCTATAGAGGGATGTTCTTATGAGGAGAGATGGAGTAGGCTGGGCCTGTACTCATTGGAATTTAGAAGAATGACAGGTGACCTTATTGAAACATACAACATTCTTAGGGGACTTGACAGGGTAGATGTGGTGAGGTTGTTTCCCTTTGTAGGACAGTCTAAGACCAGAGATGATCATCTCAGAATAAGGGCTCATCCATTTGAAAAAGAGACAAGGAGGATTTTTTTTCTCTCAGAGGGTAGAGAATCTATGGAATTCTTTACCACAGAGGGCTGTAGAGTCTAAGTTGTTAAATATATTCAAGGCTGAGATGTAAAGGTTTTTAAGCAGTGAGAGAATTGAGCGTTATTGGAAAAGGCAAAGTGGATTGGAGGATTATCAGATCTTGCATGACCTCATTGAATGGCAGAGCAAAATCAACGGCTGAAATGGCCTACTTTTGCGCCAATGTCTTACGGTCTTATGAACCTACAGTACTCACTGATGGAGTATCTGAACCTATAGTGCTCA